CCCAGCAGAGTTCAAATTTGTGCCATGGCTCTAAACATGTACCTTACTCCTGACCCTAGCCTTATTAATTTCATTGCATTAATTCAATGAGAGCTTGAATGATGTGTCCTGGCCCAGAAGGTAGGATAAGAGGGAAAGGCAATAGCAGCTCAAAGCCATCTTGCTGTGTCAGATGGCTTCCAGAAGTCAATGCATCCCTTACTGAAGTCACAGGAGATGCCTACACTCTTACAGCAACAGTCTCCCTTGCCACACATTCAGGCTGGCTTTCATCATGCATTATCCATGTGCTGCTTCTCTACTGGGAAGGGCCTTCTCAGGGCTGAGCTGAACCTGGCCCACCAGTGCAGCTCTTTGCATTCTAATAGCAAAAATAACTGCCACTGTTGGAAGGATGGTTTTTTAGATTTCTAATGGAAAAATTCAGACACCTTGCACTGAAAGAATACTCTGGTCATGAATGCCTCAAAGAACTCTTGCTGAGATCTGCTGAGGTTCTGAGTAAAGGTGTTTGGGCAGTGATGCTCCTGCATTTCCTTCTGCATTCAGCTTACTTCAGAGAGAATGAGTCTCTGCATCCCTGCTTGCACTACTGCAACTCAGAGCAAACGAGTTCTTTAATGAGCAGGTTTCCCTTACCTGGTTGCCATTCTGGAGAAGGTTGTCTTTGCATCGGAGTTTCTTTTCCAAGTCCTGAATGAGGGCCTCTTTTGTTCCTCTAATTTCATGGTCTGATGTCTTCTGCATAGAGTTGATGCTAGCTTGTTTGTTATACATTGGTTGTGAGTAACTACTCATGCAGGAAGAGAAAATAAAGTTATTGCTGTAGGCCTGCTTGACTGCTGCAGCTTCACAGAATACACACAGAAATGTGCACCTGCTACCTAGAGACTGTGGTTCAAATGAACCCATAAAGCATCTGGGAGACAGACAGGCTAGGTGATGTAATTGAGCATCAGAAAGTTAAGGGGAATCGTCATGATCTGGCCAAGTCTTTGAGTGTCCTCCCACAACACTAACAGCAGTTTGCTGTGGGCCACTGTACAGCATCCCTCCATCCTGCAGTGGCCCACAGTGGTGCGTGCAGGAAGGCTTAGCAGGGTTTAGAGGGAGCCGCTAACTCCACTGAGCAATGTGAGTCTGTCCAGGAGCAAGTTCTCCCTCAAAAACTGCATTCCTGTACAATTTCAATGGTTAAAAAAGGCCCTGGGTGCTGCAAATCCAAAGCAAAGTCACAAACTGGTTGATTAGTTAAGAACAAATAGCTTATTAGTTGTCCTGCAACTAATATGCAACCCCCCACTACAGCCTGCTCCTGTAATCCATAGCCAAGAGACACAACCAAGTCTTGGAGTTAGACAGAAGACTTGATTCTAAAAGGTGCTAGGAAAAGAGGAGCATCCCTCAAAACCGGTTGTGAAGGTGTACTAGAGGTCACAGCACTCTGTGCTAGGACAGGATCTAACCTGGTTTGTTACATGCAGCAGGGCCTTGTACACTGCAGTTGTGTTCAGCAATTATTTCTATTCAAAATCCTCTTCCTTCTGTCGTTTGGGAATGTGTTAGCTGATTAGAATAGGGTAAAAGGGTTATAATTCTGGTACGTATTCCCAGCACTGCTTGGACTTAATAACTTGCCCAAGTTACAACTTAAAAACTTTAATAATTTGCCCAACAGATTAATATGTCTCATGTCCCTGTTTGCCCATTTGTAGGACAATTAGGAAAATAATTCCTCAACTTACAGAATGTTGCATTTAAGAGCAGCTTATATGAAAGGCATAGCGTGGCACCAAAGCCCTTTGCTATGAAAACAAACAAGTCCACACTACATATGCAAAACCCAATGGTTACTCCAGATGCACACCTAGCCCCCACACACTCCTGCAGTGCTTTTCAGAAACACTCCTGAGTGCCCCAGCTCGCCCTCTCCATCTTACCTTTCTGCTTCCCACAGTGCTGCAATTAAAAAAACAACTCAGAAACATTCAGATTTCCTGAGTAGAAACTGACACTTAAACCTGAATTTATATCCAGGACACCCCTGCCCCTATCACCTTTCTGATATCCTCAGTTGGGTGTCTGTTGCGTGTCCTACACTGACTTTCCCCAGGACCTCCAGCTAATATTGGCAGGAATACAAGTTGGTGAGAAGGCAAGACCCAGTCCCCTTTGAGATCTCACTGACCTTGGGAGATAGTTGGATTGCAGCCCAAAGGCAAATTGATATAATACATATTCAGGAAAGAATTTAGTCTTTGGTCTGAAAGGGTGAAATTTTCAAGTGGCTGCTTTCTGTTAGCATGTATGATTTATGAAAGCTGTATTTTAGGCAAGTGTAGAGTCCCATCATGATGTGGAGCCTGAAAATACTGCTGCGACTTACTAGTAATACTGAAGTTGTTTATATGTGGGAAATACTACTGCCTTCCCCCTGCCTCCCCGTTCATGAGCCATGTTTGTTGAGAGAAATTAATTTGAGATGGGTGTCCATCTTCTGTTCTGGGTACCCTTAAACAAGGGATTTCCATCAAATCGAACTAAACTGTTCAAACAGACCCCCAGAAAACCTGCACAGCAGCCTATGCCGTGACTGCCATGCAGTTTAATTCCTGGTGGGTACTCATCTCTCTCACACAAGACACCAAGGGCAAGCACTCAGCCTCCTAACCCAATTCATGCGAAGTCCTGCCTCGAACATCGGAAGGCAATGGGAGTTGCACCATTGGCTTCGGCCGAGCTGGCATTTCATGGATGGTTGGATTTGGAGTAGTCACTGCACGGCAGAGGCCAGGCCAGAGGAAAGCAAGGGAGGTTAGAAGCCTGTATGTACTTACTGAGGTTCCATGGGAGAAGGAGCTTGGCTGTTATAGTCAGGCTGCAAGGGTAGCACTGAGCACAGGAATGCTGCGGGGGGTTGGTTAGGCATGGATATAAGCCGTTGCCCAGATGATGAGCTAGCAGGAGACTGTGCAGATGCAGGTGTGACGGGATATGTGGATTCCTTAGGGGCACTACAGGAAGGCGAGGAGAGCGTGATTGAAGAGCTCAGCGATGACGAGGAGGAGAATTTCTGCCCGCTGGGGTTACGAGGCTGTATTAGAATGGAGGACTGTTTGATTTGTCTGCTTGAGTCAGTAGAGACTGTGGGTCCTGGAGGCTGCTGTTGCCCTTGACACACATTCTTAGACTGGATAAAGTGTTTTGGACGTTCGTAGTTAAACATGGTTGGTTGACACATAGAGGAGACGGATGGGAAGTTAGGGACACTCATAGGAGAGGTTTCACGGCTGTCCTGGATTTTTGTTGGTGATAACTCGCTTTGGATAGGTGGCTGGTAAAAGCTAAGAAGCCCACAAAAACTTTCTTGGCTGGGCTCCTGGATAGAATGGAACCCTTGCTTTGCAGAATAGAGGCTTTCTTGGTGTGGATTTTCCCTTAAGGAAAAGACAATGCAGATAAAATAAATTGTACATCACTCTTTGCATCACAAAAATACTGTGCGTGAGTATTCGTTCGCAATCCAAAGAGTATGAAGTTCAGGCAACTGACAGTTAAAGTTTGAGCTTAAAATAAAAAGATTTAGGATTGATTAGAACCATTCCAGAACCGTATGAACATTTTGGATTACAATAACAAGTCACACACTCTATCCAACTCAGGTGCAGCGCTCACCACAGCTATCTTATCTGCAAGAGCTCAGTACATTCTAAAAGAAGGGTTTATTGGTTTATTTGGCTTATTGAGACAACCCACCACCTGCTTAAGTCTACAGATAACTGCAGACACTACTGCTAAGCAAGGTAATTTGCCAGGTATCACCTTAACTAAAGGTCTCTGGATCCTGCAGTTTTGTGCCCTGTCAAAACACTAGATGTACCATTACACGGAGAATTGGCTATTTGTGCTGAGAAATTCCTTACACCATAGGGAAGCACGAAACAGGTTCCACTTTCTTTTAAGCCTAAAAACTAAACCTTTGAAACTAAGTATCCTGATTTCTTCTCTGATGGTTTTTGAGTTCAAAGCTTTTTTATATCCAGTTGAGATTTGGGATTGGGATGGACTGTGCTTCTCCCTTGGAAGTGATTTCCCAAGATTTGCTGTTAGGGCTCATAATTGCCCAAATGACATAGCTGCAGGATAAAGCAGGGCAAGCAGAGCTGCCCTGCATTTATGGTCCTGCATTTATTTTGCAGGTCCTTAATATCTAACTGTGGGCTTTTCATCAACTTACAAAAGAAGAACGTTTAATTAGAGCAAACTGAGCAAGTCTGTTAAAGCTGACAAACAACTTCAGCTCCAGGATGAATAAATAACTCCCCCCAAAATAAACTTAAAGCTACTAATAAAAAAATGAGAATATAAATCCACACAGTTACATGTGCTGGAAAAAATTGTAATCTTGCCCCACTGAGATCAGCTGTTTGGCTGCTATATATACACAGTATATTGTATTCCTCTCATCGGAGAGCCCCAAGAAGGGCTCCACCAGGTCATAAATTCCCAGGGTGGAGGGGGGGGGAGAAGGGGGCATGGAGATCAACTGAAGACATCACTCCCATTTCAAATATTCAATTTTCGTTTCCTAAAGGTAATTATCAATATTAGTTGCATATTAACTGTAGGTAAGCAGAGTTTTTCTAGTAAAAATTCCCTAGCTTTCCCCCTGTCACGCTCTTGGAATTTGAAGGTGGCTCAAATTTTTGGAATGCATGCATGCTATGTTCTCATTCACTGGTGCAGAAAACTCGTTGAATCTTGGTTTTATACCATCTTTATATCACTGCCTGTGTACAGATTCATTCATTTTACCTACAGGCTATGTATAGAAACCGGCACTCGCTTTGCCATCTACAATATTGCACTCAAACGAGATACGATGCACACATTCACGTGCCCCAGCACAGTTACGTTTTCCTCAAATCATTCCACCTCGATTTGGGAAAAAAACCCAAAACTCTAGAGACTTTTGACCTTGCAAGACGAAAATAAAAAGTAATAAGGCAACACTTTGCTTTCTAAAAAAAAAATGTTAAATCCTTTTTTTTTCCTCTTTCTTTGTCCCGTGTTGCCCCTCACGTTCCCTGAGCCACCCCACACCTCGCAGGTTGGTTCCCACCTCAGCGCTGCCTGGCCTCTGCCAGTCCTCACGGTAGCTCCCCGACCAAGTAAAAAGTGACCAAACGCAGCAGCTTACCTACAGCTTGGAAGTTGTCACCTGGGCTCTAAGCGGTATTTTGGGGAGGGACCGTCATGCACTGACCCGGACGCCCATAGTAGCCCTCTGCGTAGCGTTACGAGGCTTTAATGTGCTGCCAGCAGGTGACACGGCGGGACCCGCTGTCCTCCTCCCGCTGTCAGAATAAGAGTCTCCCCCGCCCCGGCGGGTACATCGCATTTAAGGGCCGGAGCCTGGGGTTTGGGCAGGTGCCCGGGGTCGGCAAATCACCCGCCCGGACGGCGGTACGGCTGGGG